TAAAAAAATTCTTTTTTTTTTGTGAATTTCAAGTTTCTGCTTTTTTTCATTTTTCTGCCCCCTACCCCCTCAAAAAAAATATTTTTTAAATATATTTTTCAGTTTTAGTTTTTTTTATCGGTTTAAAGGTTCAAAATTTTACAAGTACCAAAGTTATGAGTTCGGAGGTTTATGTTTTTGGAAGTTTACGGGTTCGAAATTCCGCGGTTTCGAAAGTTTAGCGGTTCGAAAGTTTGTGGAATTTGTGGATTCAGAAGGTTGTTGGTTTGAAAGTTTATGGCTTCATGTTTATTATATCTAAATTATTTATGAATACTCTTGAGAAGTCATTTTCCTTAATTTGCATACCAAATACCGGAAAATGAATAAGATTACTACATGTTTTCCAAGAAAACATTTTCCATGGAAAACATTTTCCGTTATACCAAACACACCTGTAGTGCTGAACTGTTTTGATAAGTTCCTTAATATAGGTAGAAATGCAAAAGGAAGGATTACTCAAGCAATAGGATATCTCTGCACTAGAATTCTGGAATACAACAACAAAATAGTTGCTTATCGCATGTTCTAGACGTAATAAAAGTACAGTCAGACCTCGCTATAACAACATTCCTATATAATAGCCATTCACTATAAAGGCCAAGTTTTTCTTGGAACCGATTTTTATAGTATGTTATAATATTATATGTCCTCTATAATATCGCTTCACTATAACACTATAACAGTTAAAACATATCGGAACGAATGAAGCTGTTACTTTTTTCTTTCTTCCTTTAGTCTGCTCTTAACAACAAGTTGCATGATTACTAGGCTAAGGTTCAAAGAGCTCTTATTCGCCCCTAACGAGCCTGTATACTCTTGTCATATATTGAGTATAAAGGGCACAACTACATTCTAAGCTAGCGTTTGGCCATAGATTTCAAATTTATTTTGAAAAATCTGATTTGGGTGAAGTTTTGTTTGAAGATGAAAATGTGTTTGGACATACGTTTTCAAAACATATTTTCCAACTTTATTTTGGAAAAACATGGATATAATTCCCAAGTTTTGGGATTTTAGCCCAAAATCAGCTCAATAGCTGATTTTGGGATTTGAGATTTGAGATTTGGGATTTGGCCAAAATATGGGCAAAATTTATGGCCAAACATGAGTTTTGAAAATAAATCCCAAATTTATTTTGGCAAAACTCATGGCCAAACGGAGCCTAAAGCTAACGACTGAGGTGGGCATTAAGGAAGCTCATATTTAGGATGCAGGACAAAGTCTCTTACCTTCTAACCAGTGGCGCGCTCAAAACATGTTGAGCGCTTCGCGCTCGCTTAGCGGCGCTTCAGTGTTGTCATCAAGGTTTTAAGACATACTTTTCCTTGCCAATGAGCGTAATCCTGAAGAGGCGACACTAAACAATTGATATTTCACTTTATCATTAATTTTCTTTAATTTCTTTGTCAATATATTTGTCATTCATGATTACAGATATTAGTCTTGGACTACACATACATATTTGTCGTTTTTCTCCATTTGCGCATTTCTTCATTAAAACCCACGCTTTATTTGCGCTTAAAGCCCCAATAGACCTTAGAGCTTTTTTAATTTGCGCTTTTCGCATTTGATTACACTGCTTCTAACTATGATCAATTCACTACCCTATTATTTTGAACTTCTATATCCAAAAGTTGGCAGTTTTTCCAATAGCTAAATCTTGAATAACGAAACTAATTAAATTCGAAAATCTGTTAAGCAGGTGAAATAATAAATAAAAAAACAGACAAGTATAATTAATGCTGCAGAAAACTCTTCAGATAGATGGTCTTTCTTTGATTTCTTAGGAAAAGTGAAAATGATATGCACATAAAATTAGTGATGATATAAATGCATGTCAACCTACGTTGATTTGCATGATAGTGATAACTATAAAACACAAGATATCTTTGCATGTTGAGCCATTTCCTCAAAGGAAGAAGGAAAAGAGTAGAAATCAACAAATCTACACCTAGCTAGAGATATTCGATAGCTGCAATGTAACAAAAGGTTAAATCCTTCTTTGATAATCACCAAGGAAAATTAAAGGACAGATTAATTTTCAAAAATTACCAACAAACTTCAAAAATAAAGATTAGTCATATTCAACTTGGTTCAAGACAAACTTAATAAATCTACGTAATTTTGCATATTATATGTTTAATATTGTATTCAAATATGTGATATTTTTTCTACAAAATTAAGATTTTGACTAGCACTCAGACACTCTACTTGCACACCGAGCGAATCATCCCATATAATTTATCACAACCATATGCATGTAAAAACCCTATTCAAACCATTTTAAAACCCATGCATGAAACATTTTCATATAAATACTGAAAATAAAAATATAATTAAAAATATTATCATATATGTCGTGTAGGTGACCAATATTACAAGGGATTGTTACATAAATAGCCGGCCAGATTCAATGTTTACTTTTTATAGCCTGTATAAAAAAAGGGGGCAGCTCGGTGCACCTTTCTAGCCTGTATACATAGATTATATATTGATTATATACAATAAAATATATTATATATTATAAAAATATTATACATCCGTTGGCTATTTCTAATTTAATAAGTTAAGTGGGTGGCTATTTGGGTTAATTCTTCTAATTACAACCTTATTAGAGGGTTGGGCCAAGTCCTCGAGCCAGTCCAGTCAGGTTCTTGGGCCGAACTAGCCCGCCAGCCACATTTAATTTCATATAAATAAAAACCAAAAATTAGGAAAAAGGATCAGTTTGCTGTAGCTGAACTTGCCTTGTTCAAATTTCAGCTACGGGATCTCCTTAAGAAAAGAACAGTAAAGCGACACAGTGAGGGTAAATTTCCTTCAGTTTTGTTCTTTTTCATTTTGTCTTTGCAAAGCATTCTATTGAATAACTATAGTCATTTCAAAATGTTCGCTTGCTAGGGTTTGTTTTTTGTGATTTTATAGAGCATTCAGTTTGTCTTTTTTGAGTCGATTCTTCTCAGCAACATTTTTGGTGGACAATGTTTGTTCCTTTGAATCAGATGTAACGTTGTTCTTGTATATTAAATCGTTTTGTGCTGGCTAAATGATCGGATATAGCATTTGGCAGGAGTATGAACACAGCTACTGCATTCACTTGAGCTCTACTTATATAGTTAAAGTTCTTAAACATATATGTTCCTACTAAAATCTGTCCTCTTACAGTGGGTGTAGTGCTATTTTGCACCTACTGTTTTAGTTAGATGATGTTAGCTTAAAAATCCTGTCTTTCATGACTGTTGTTCTGTAACATGTCGATCAACCTTCTTCTGATCTATAGCAGTCCTAATCATAAGTGAATAGGCAAAATGGGGAAAAATTAACCTCTATTGTTTGGGTGCAGCGTCTTTGAATGTCAGATGGTTAGAACAGTGAGTTTCCTGTCATTTTGTGTGGCCTGTTTGTATTTTCATGACTTGTGGGTGAAATCTGCTGTCTTCAAGTATGGCAGCAGATGCTTTTAAACTAAGCTAAATGTGAAATGTCCAGTTCCTGCCTACTATGGCTCATTCTTCATGATTATGATGGTTCAGCTGAAGGAAGTTTCTCTATGTATTTCATGTATCTTTGGTCTGAAGCACTTAACTCGAGTCTTTACGGAAAGCCGGTGGTCATTCGCTCATAGAGGTATAGGAACCTTTTCTGGAGTAAATAAATCAACTGACCGATTAGACTCATAGCATCCTTAGAGTGTATTTATATGTAAACCTGGACTTTTGGATCGATGTTATCTGTAAAGGGCTCGGGGGCTTGTTTCGCTGCTGACTTCGTTGATGTGTGTAGAACATTTGTAGACTGGGGAGGGCAAGGGAGGCTGAGTCCCGCAAAATTTTAGTAGCAGGCTTCATTAAATTTTATTCGACGTTCGTCAGGAGTCTTTATTTTGGTTACTGATTTTGTATGTTTGTGTAAGATAAGTGTGACTCGAATCATATTACTAATTTTCCTTAAATGCAAAATATTTAGCAATAGAGTGCATGGACATGAATACAGTGGAATGGATACGTAGGATTCATATAACCAACCCCAACTAATTTCTGTGCACTTATCCCTTGAGGCTAAATCTCTGTCTTATAGTCTTTTTCTTTTTTTTTTTTTTGGGGGGGGGTCAAAATCACACTCTTCTCGTCTTTATCTACAAATTCAATCTTACAAAGTGAGGGGTTCAACAAATATGAAACTGCTTCAGCAGGCAAATTCTCTGTGCACTTGTCCCTTGAGGCTAAATCTCTGTCTTATAGCCTGCAGGAAGCTATCTTGCTTGACTCATCCGTAAGCTTAGAAATATCTGCTTACCTCACACTTTTCTCCCTGAAGCTAAATTCGCTATCTTACAATCTGCAGGGAGGTAACTTTCCTGACACAACTGTAAGCATGAACTCAGAAGAATGTGCAAAGTCTCATCATTCCAAACCAACTATCACTCTGACTGGGACTGCTGAAAAATGTGCACTTGGACCATCACTTGGTGTGGTTGACATAGGCAATAGTGAAAATGCATATCTTTTTCGTGTTGCGCTTCCTGGTGTAAGAAATAAATGTAAGTACTTTTAAATAAACCTCTGTATTGTTTATTTTCTAGAGTGGGTATAACAAATGGAGGCAACAGTGACTGCGTTTATGCATAGGCTTACTTAGTAATCTCATCATTAACCTGAAATTACTTTATATGACCCTCAGAGTTAAGCTTCAGCATAGACAATGAGGTCGAATTCTTTGATCATAATATGTGATCCTGAAATGTGTCATTCCTTGAAATTGGAATATAAGAATGTATTACGAACAATAGCTAATCAATTCAGGTACATCTCAGTAACTGGTGTTGTTTATGTAAACTCCTGTATTGTGAACACTGGCTATGCCTAGTAAATGATTGAACATTAGGTTTTGGTGCAATAAATACTGTTCAATATTTTTTGGTGTAAGAGGATCATATTTTCTTAAATACCAGTAACTTTTAAGAGTTGGAATTTAATAGTCAATTGATGTGTATACCATACAGGTAATATAAAATGTGACATACAGAGAGAAGGGAGAGTCCGGATAGAGGGTGTGGTTACAGAGAGTGATGTCTTGAAAAACTCATCCAAGGGTTATGAGATGAAAGTTCAGCAGCTTTCTCCTCCTGGGCCTTTTACCGTATCGTTCAATTTGCCAGGACCGGTTGATCCCAGATTATGTTCCCCACATTTTAGATCAGATGGCATTCTGGAAGTCATTGTATTGAAATACCGGATACCTATTGTTTCAGCTGAAGGTTTGCCTGAGAATTGGTACAATGGCTCTTTCCCAGCTCCCTGAATTCTTGTCGTCCCTGTTTCTTAACATACATGGGATTGATTTGTTTTGTAACGTTTCTCGTGAATATAGCAGTCAACTTCTAGGGGGGCTACCTGTACAACAAGGGATTTTGCATTATATGTTTCATTGGAAATTTTGACTATGCTGACCTGATTTTGTACTTTTGTGGCAAAAACAAAATACATGGAGTATGTGACATCTTTTCCATCTTTATCATTATTATTTTCAGTCAGCTGACGTTTTCATATACCGGGGTAATGGTATAAGTAATCTATGGTTATCATCAGCGTGATGAGAGTTCACTATTTGCCCGAGCACTGTGATAACCATGAAACAGATAAGTAGGTAAGATTTTTAAGAATTCAGCTGCATAATATAAATCTAATGTTGTTGATGTCCTGAGTGAGCACTAGTTTATACAATGTGTTTCAACAAGATTTCTGCAGTGAATGCTATTTTCTTATCATTGGCCGGATAGAGTTTATCTGCTAATTAGAATAGCAACATCACATCCTGTTATGGAAAAGTATGTTATCGATAACTTGATGCAGGACATTATGTATAAAATTTGATTTTGCATAATAAAAAGTAGTACAAGTGTTTTTGGGTTCACTGTGCATCAATGTTGTCAAACAATATGTTAAACTAGGTGTTTGCCAACAGCAAAAAATACATCTCCTTTTTGGAATTATTAGTATTTGGTATTGCAGTAATGATTTTCCAGAGGATTTGACGATAATAAACAACTATCTTGGAATACCTTCCAGCAGGAACTGAAGTTGTCCTATACGTACCACTGTGCACGTTAAGGCAAATGATGGATTCATAAAATAAACAAAAAGTGCCAATAATAGATCCCATACATTGGTAATGCCTTCTATAATTGATTCAAGACACATAAGAGGTAACTAATGATGAGAGGCATGGGTTTGTCACGATGATACAAGATTATTCCCATTGATTAATGTATTTACTCTTAAAGTAACAAATGTATATCCAATACATTTAGGACTTGGTATAGTAAGTATTACTAATTCTTAACGTTGAAAACCGAAAGGCAGAGATATTTCGTGGTTGTGTGCGTAATAGTCAAGGGCATAACATTATCGGGTTTCTACGTTTCTATATTAATAATTGGACCATAGTTAGGTGTGAAGTAAGCTCATTAATTTTATATATGAAGCATATACTGTGGCTGCTAGCATGATTTTGCTCTCCTATTCTAAGTTGAATTTAAATGAAAGTTATGATCGATTCACATAATCAATCGTAAATTGTTTGGACTTGAGGTACGTTGTTGTTGTTATTGAAAGTGCACTATTTGGATGTAGTCTATACATTTTCCAAACACTTGGCTGGATTTTGTACTTTGACGTTTCCACGTCCCAAGATGAAGTCCAAATCATGATTGGAATTTTTGTTTTCTTTATTAGCATGATAGATGATGTTGCTTGTACCAAAGCAATGACAACATTCTACCCTCCCATCACCGGCAGTTGGTTAGTTGAATGGCCCACCTCTAATTGAGAATTTACAGGTCTTCCACCAATTAAACCATGAATATGGGTGTGTTTGGTATAACTGAAAATATTTTTCGTGGAAAATGTTTTCCAAGAAAATATTTTCTTGGTAAACAAGTAATAATCTTATTCATTTTTCGGTGTTTGGTACGCAAATTAAGGAAAATGACTTCTCAAGAGTATTCATAAATAATTTAGATATAATAAACATGAAGCCATAAACTTTCAAACAAACAACCTTCCGAATCCACAAATTTCATAAACTTTCGAATCGCTAAACTTTCGAAATCGCGGAATTTCGAACCCGTAAACTTCCAAACACATAAACCTCCGAACTCATTACTTGTAAAATTTTGAACCTTTAAACCGATAACAAAAAAAAACTAAAACTGAAAAATATATTTAAAAAGTATTTTTTTTACGGTAGGTAGGGGGGAGGGGGGGTATTAGGGGGAGGGCGAGAAAAAGTAGTAAAAAGACAGAAATTTAGAAAATTTAACA